TAAATGTTACTCACTAGAGAGAAATGGGGCAGTGGCTGAAAGACTTTTTTATTCATTCATTTTAATTTGACCAGAGAGAGATACACACAGAGAAAGAGAGAGAGAGAGAAAGAGACACAGGGAGGGAAAAGTGAGAAAGCAAGCCACCAGGTCCAGGACTTGAACTGTGAGTGATCATGTGAGAGTGTCCAGCACCTTAACCACCACATCACCTGCTGGTACCCCATGACTTTTATTTTAAGTCTGCTGGCTTCAAGATTGTGGCCACAGAGAGAAAACGTCATTGTTCTGAAGATTATCATTTGTACTGAAACACAGAAAGCTCTAGGTGGCCCTGAATTCAAGTCTTCTCTTTGTAAAAGTTATTTTCTCACAGTATATTTGAAGGACTTAGGCAGACATTTCTACTACTCTTCTAATTGCATAATGCTAATATTCTACTTTACCTTTACTTAGAAAATTCATCCGCCACTACTCAGACACAGCAAAAGTAACTAATTTATGTAACAGAGCAGGACCAAGCAGTACTAATATGAGTATATAACATTACTAAGTGGGTATATTAATGTTAGTTAGCACTTTTTGTTTCTAAACATGAGTTACATAAGAAATTTTAAATATACTCTAATACAATCACACTTAACGAAGTACTCCCACATCAATCAACTTAGGGCTGAAAATATTCAGGAAAAAAAAGATTTAAAAATCACAATATAGGGCCAGCAGGTGGCACAGAGGTTTAGACAGCTAGATCACACATGGTCGACCATGTGGTTTCAAGTCTCAGTCAAGAAAGCTTGAAAACATGACTGGTACATGTGCATACATGCCCAGAATTCCAAGAGGAAAATGGAGAAGGGATTGTGGCATGATCTCCCCCCCAGAAGATGATTTCATACTTTCTCTCTCTCTTTCTCTGTTGAGTGCACACATTATATAGCAAAAACTTAAACACATACACACACACACACACACACACAAAGCACGCTGCCAGGTCCGGGACTTCAACCACAGTCAGCAATGTGGATCTGCAAATGCAGGTCTACCACTGGTAAGTATTCTGTTTTACAAGAGGATATCCAGATTTGTGTGTGAAATCTGATAAATGTAAATGTTACTCACTAGAGAGAAATGGGGCAGTGGCTGAAAGACTTTTTTATTCATTCATTTTAATTTGACCAGAGAGAGATACACACAGAGAAAGAGAGAGAGAGAGAAAGAGACACAGGGAGGGAAAAGTGAGAAAGCAAGCCACCAGGTCCAGGACTTGAACTGTGATTGATCATGTGAGAGTGTCCAGCACCTTAACCACCACATCACCTGCTGGTACCCCATGACTTTTATTTTAAGTCTGCTGGCTTCAAGATTGTGGCCACAGAGAGAAAACGTCATTGTTCTGAAGATTATCATTTGTACTGAACCACAGAAAGCTCTAGGTGGCCCTGAATTCAAGTCTTCTCTTTGTAAAAGTTATTTTCTCACAGTATATTTGAAGGACTTAGGCAGACATTTCTACTACTCTTCTAATTGCATAATGCTAATATTCTACTTTACCTTTACTTAGAAAATTCATCCGCCACTACTCAGACACAGCAAAAGTAACTAATTTATGTAACAGAGCAGGACCAAGCAGTACTAATATGAGTATATAACATTACTAAGTGGGTATATTAATGTTAGTTAGCACTTTTTGTTTCTAAACATGAGTTACATAAGAAATTTTAAATATACTCTAATACAATCACACTTAACGAAGTACTCCCACATCAATCAACTTAGGGCTGAAAATATTCAGGAAAAAAAAGATTTAAAAATCACAATATAGGGCCAGCAGGTGGCACAGAGGTTTAGACAGCTAGATCACACATGGTCGACCATGTGGTTTCAAGTCTCAGTCAAGAAAGCTTGAAAACATGACTGGTACATGTGCATACATGCCCAGAATTCCAAGAGGAAAATGGAGAAGGGATTGTGGCATGATCTCCCCCCCAGAAGATGATTTCATACTTTCTCTCTCTCTTTCTCTGTTGAGTGCACACATTATATAGCAAAAACTTAAACACATACACACACACACACACACACACACGCACGCATACAATAAAATTAATAAATTTAAAACAACACAGTATAATAGCTAGCTATATAACATTCACATTGTATTAGGTATTATAAATAATCTAGACTATTTAAAGTACACAGGAGGATGTGCATGGGTTATATGCAAATACCATGCCACCCAGGATTTTGTCATTCATAGAAGTTCTGGAACCTATCTCCCATGGATAATGAGGAATGACTTTTGAGAAGCGAAAAAGCTTAAAAGAATTCAAATATTTTTGGGGAGATTAGCATCTTAAGATTATTTCATAATACTATTCAGAAGTATTAACATAAAACGATTCTCAGCATGTACTTGTCAAATAGAAATTGTCCCAACTTCATAGGCGAGGAAACAAGAATCGGAAAATGAAATGAGCTGGTCAACATTAGGGAAAGGTGGCTAAAACAAGATTCAAGTTTAGGCTGATAAATGCTCTTTCCACCATCTCAACATTTCTCATGGAGATTTTTGAAAATGAAATGGCTTATGAAAAAGAGTAAACTAATGGGGAGGACCAAAATAGTATCATAAAACCTCAATTATCTAGCTCTAGGATCTATTATGCACTCCAAGAAAATAGTTAACCTGGAATTCAGCACAGAAAATGTAACACTCACTAACCCTAAAAGTAATGATCCCAATGATGTTTAGAGTCTGCTTACACTTGCAAAAATTCAACATGGCAATGAAAGAATTAGCAATAATATCCTGAGTAACCACAGGGTGTTGTTGTTTCCCCGTGTACATACAAGTAATAATCTTGTAGAGGGCTGGGGTAAATTTCAGTCAGCAATAGAAGGCAAAAACAATACATTGTGAAAATTTCTCTAAGGTCCCACTCTGAAGATGAACATAAATTACTCAGTAATTTCAATCTAGCCAGTTTTTCTCCAGTATTAGAGAATAGCAAACCAAGTAGCTGGCTTGTATTACTTAAATTGTTTTAAATACATTCTAAGCACTATAATCTCCATCTCACCCCTCCCCCAAGACAGTGAGTTGTTCATACTATCAAAGAGACATGAAAATAAGATTAAGGTCACAGTATATACACTTTATCCTATGTCATACTTTCCTGTACCATACCCACTCCAGAGCACAGTTTTACTGAAAGGAATGATAGAATCCCTCACATATATCAGATTTTTTCTTTTTTCTCTTTAAGGGGCAAGTTATATAACTTATTTACATAAATTAATGTTCGAATTATGAAACTCCAGTGTCACATAAAATCTAACAACTCTGCAATGCAGTATGTTAGTAAAAGTGAAAAAATATTTTAAAGATGTTGACAAAACTAAGACAGTGATCCCAGAATACATTTTAGGCTACTGTTCTGAACAAATGAAAATTTACCAGAAACAATGATTTAATTTTTTAAAAAATAACAGAACAAACATAAACACAAGTTTGTAACAAAGCAGCAATTTTAAATTAAATCATGTAAATATAGATCTTACTATCTACCTTCATGAAAATAAGAATTTTTTAAAAAGGACACAAAGAAGATAAATTCTAGCATAATTTTCAAACTCAATTCCTCAGTGACTAAGAGGCTGGGGTTCTACAAATAAGTGAACTAAATCTGGACACAAATATAAGATTGTAATTGTCATATGTGACCTCATTTCAATGTTTTCTTCTCAATAACAGACTAATTAGTCTCATTTTATTCAATAAACTTACGATAAAGAAATGTTATAAATGTACACTCTTAGTACACACCAAAATTACCCACGTGGATTCCTTCTAAATACTGGGTTCTTAATAAGAATTTAATCTTCAAAAAATTGCTATTTTTATTGAGTTGCTCTATTTTCAAAATTTAATACTTACTGTTCCATGTCATATTAGTCAGGAATATATTCATCCTATTCTAATGACAAAGGCAAAGAAATGTACCATTTAAAAAAAAATTAGTGAGTTCTGTAATTTAAGCTTTGGCACTTAGTATGACTGTTCTGCTATCTGAAATATTACGGGAATAAGTATTTCATTCTTCCACCTTGCTGGGTAACCACAGGTTTACAGTATCTCAATAAACGTTTTTACTTTAAAACAATATTAAGAGAGCGTTGTGAAGTTCTGAAATTAAATTCACATAAGAATTATATTACTTTTAAATGTATCAATACCACAAGTTTAAACTATGATAAAATGGAAATAACAATTTCATGTAACTAAAACAGCTGAGCATTTACTTCAACTATATTGGTATTAAATAAAATGAAAAGGGGTATCTAGGACTAGATGTGAACTTATTTCTAAATTCAAAATCTGATTATAAATGCCAATTTAAACAAAGAATTATCAAACAAAACAAATGAGTGATTAAAAATATATAAGAGTTGAATGTTAGAGGAGACAGCATGATGGGAAAAAACTGGAACCCTTAGTTTTTTTTTAAAAAAGGCGGTATTAAAAACTATGATTTATTTATATAAAGGATTACCATATTTTCCAGAAGGCTTCCAAACAAAACCCAGAAAACTGTACTCTTCGTAAAAAGCAAGGCTTATGGCTTCTTTAAAAAAAAAAAAAAAAAAACTACTCAGATGATACATTGTTTTAATTTCTACAAATAAATATAAAACAAACCAAAATATCCAACACAAAAGGAGTAAGTATTATGTGGATAAGGGCCAGAAAAGCACTAATAATTGGTGATTAAAATCTTTTGGCAATGAAAGAACATATAATGATGAAAAATTACAGGAATTTAACCTTTGACCTCACCATCCTATGTACTGTTTCTATAACAGACGTTCAAAGGTTCTAGCAAACATTTCAACTTTTTAGTAAGCAAGCTCTAAGTTCACCTTCCTATATAAATTCAGATTCAATTTTTTTGTTTTTAATTAGAATGTTTAAAGATTAAAAAGTAATTGGTTCTTACCTCTGGTCCTGATGCATGTGACAAGTCTCACTGACATACTTGCTGCCTAAGCAGCTACAAAGACTAGGTTAGCAGCCATTTTGAGACAGCTGCACAGTCTCAGTTGCACAAAAGTGTAATTAAGATGGCTGCAATGTGCACTCAAGAACTCACACAGTGAAAACTCAGCTATGTATCAAGCAAAGCCCCTCCCACTTTGCTAGCCTGCAAGAAACTGAACACAGGCAACAGCTAATGCATATATTGCAACAAACAATGCAGCTACTCAGGACAGAAAAAGAAAACAGAAGGCAGCAAGCCAGTTTTGTAACATAATGCCTGTGAATCCTGACTTGCAATACAGACGTTGGGCACATCCAGATCCCAGACAACTTGAAGTCCATGCCAGATATTAGCAGTTACAGAGATAGAGCCAAATCACACAGAGCAAAACATCAGGGAATTTGCTTGAAAGAAAGCCTCCATTTCAGTCCAGAAAAAAAAAAAAAAAGTGAAACCTTGCTCAAGACCTTTTCTTTTCTTCTTCTTCCATTTTTTTTTTCTTTTTAAGTCTTTTATGCTACTTGTGTCATGGAAGGGCTTTAATTTTATAATTTCTGGAAAATTGTTTAAATTCTGATAGTAATTTGATAAAATATAATTAAAATTTTCCTCACAAAATCTAACCCCTAAATGCCCAAATCTAACAGAATAAAGCTTACAATCAAAGTTTTGAAACTTGTTAATAGAGTCAGATGGCAACAGAGCTTATTTTCAGTTATTTATCATAAAGATAAAATAATTTCTTCTTCTTAGTAGTCCAGATGGTCACAAACACATGGATCCCTAGATGAGTGTTTAGTCCCAGGGCAAATTACATTTATACCCTGCCAACATTTTTATATTGGTGGAAAACAAGTTAAAATAATGCAAACACTCTAGGGGTAAAAATAAGAAGCCCAAAATGGAAAAATTCAATCTGAAAGTAGTATATTAACAAAACAAATTTGAGAGTGATTCCAATAAATTTGGTTTGGCAGTAACACAGCCATTAAAAGAGGGCAAAAACACAGAAAGAACCTGTTTGTTTGACAGTCACATCAACTGTGGAATCAATGTTTTCCCTTAAGTATATTCTTCAGTCTGCCTTCCTATTGGTTAACCATCTCACACTATGTTGTCTCTATCCATCACTGAATGTAGGTAAAACCTGTTAAGGGGCTACTGAAGTGACAGGAATACAGGATACTGGCTCCAAGAGTAAATCATTCAAGCTGAGTGATGAGCTAGTAGGGTTTTCATTCTTTTTTTTTTTTAATTTGCCAGAGGGCACATGTCCTCATTGGAGTGGGACACAGAGAGGAAGTGAGAAAGCACCTCCCATAGGGCATGGTCACTCTATAATGCCTTTTCCATCTCTCCTTGCTTTGAGGATTTTGGGCACACACACCCACTGAGCATGTTTTTCAAGCCGTAGTGTCCAGGACTCTACCCATGCAGTCAGCCACATGGGCTCCAGCCCCTTTAACCACCAGGCCACAGGCTGGCCTTCAGCACCTCCTTAACGTTATTGCCCAGATGAGGTTCTGGGCCACTTCCTCTACACCAGCATGCTTTGTCTCTACTCCTTAGCCTCAGTTTCTTGGCGTCCTGGTACTTGCCACTCCTACCGACAAAAGTGTAATTAAGATGGCTGCAATGTGCACTCAAGAACTCACACAGTGAAAACTCAGCTATGTATCAAGCAAAGCCCCTCCCACTTTGCTAGCCTGCAAGAAACTGAACACAGGCAACAGCTAATGCATATATTGCAACAAACAATGCAGCTACTCAGGACAGAAAAAGAAAACAGAAGGCAGCAAGCCAGTTTTGTAACATAATGCCTGTGAATCCTGACTTGCAATACAGACGTTGGGCACATCCAGATCCCAGACAACTTGAAGTCCATGCCAGATATTAGCAGTTACAGAGATAGAGCCAAATCACACAGAGCAAAACATCAGGGAATTTGCTTGAAAGAAAGCCTCCATTTCAGTCCAGAAAAAAAAAAAAAAAGTGAAACCTTGCTCAAGACCTTTTCTTTTCTTCTTCTTCCATTTTTTTTTTTCTTTTTAAGTCTTTTATGCTACTTGTGTCATGGAAGGGCTTTAATTTTATAATTTCTGGAAAATTGTTTAAATTCTGATAGTAATTTGATAAAATATAATTAAAATTTTCCTCACAAAATCTAACCCCTAAATGCCCAAATCTAACAGAATAAAGCTTACAATCAAAGTTTTGAAACTTGTTAATAGAGTCAGATGGCAACAGAGCTTATTTTCAGTTATTTATCATAAAGATAAAATAATTTCTTCTTCTTAGTAGTCCAGATGGTCACAAACACATGGATCCCTAGATGAGTGTTTAGTCCCAGGGCAAATTACATTTATACCCTGCCAACATTTTTATATTGGTGGAAAACAAGTTAAAATAATGCAAACACTCTAGGGGTAAAAATAAGAAGCCCAAAATGGAAAAATTCAATCTGAAAGTAGTATATTAACAAAACAAATTTGAGAGTGATTCCAATAAATTTGGTTTGGCAGTAACACAGCCATTAAAAGAGGGCAAAAACACAGAAAGAACCTGTTTGTTTGACAGTCACATCAACTGTGGAATCAATGTTTTCCCTTAAGTATATTCTTCAGTCTGCCTTCCTATTGGTTAACCATCTCACACTATGTTGTCTCTATCCATCACTGAATGTAGGTAAAACCTGTTAAGGGGCTACTGAAGTGACAGGAATACAGGATACTGGCTCCAAGAGTAAATCATTCAAGCTGAGTGATGAGCTAGTAGGGTTTTCATTCTTTTTTTTTTTTAATTTGCCAGAGGGCACATGTCCTCATTGGAGTGGGACACAGAGAGGAAGTGAGAAAGCACCTCCCATAGGGCATGGTCACTCTATAATGCCTTTTCCATCTCTCCTTGCTTTGAGGATTTTGGGCACACACACCCACTGAGCATGTTTTTCAAGCCGTAGTGTCCAGGACTCTACCCATGCAGTCAGCCACATGGGCTCCAGCCCCTTTAACCACCAGGCCACAGGCTGGTCCAGCGTAATTTCCATTTCTTCATCTATTTGAAACTTTCAGTAATAAATAAATTAATAAATTTTTAAACTAACACTAAAGGTAGGTTTTATGTCCAACTCACGATAGCAGAAACAGGTTCAGAGATTAAATAACTTCACAAAACTGAAATGCTAAAATACAGGTCAGACTATATACTCAGTCCTAGCCCGCAGAGCTTTATCCACACCTTCAAACATACGTTCTGTCTCTATGTCTGATGGAAACAATTTAGGGAAGGAGAGTGGTTACACTGCTATTCAGAAAACTGATCTACTGCCAACACCTTTTGCTCACTGTGACAATGGAATTATCCTAGTTCACATAATAAATAAATCCTATTCGTGATTTAACCCAAATTACCTTACCACTGACGATCTTTTTTTTTTTTTTTGAGAGGTTTTCGCTATAGGGCGCGTGTGCTTGCCAGACAGACAGAGAGAGACATAGAGACAGAAAGCAAGAAATCACCCCCCAAGAGGGGATGGTCATGCCGCAATCCCTTCTCCTCCATTCTCCTCTCGGGATCTTGGGCACGCACACACACGCGCCTGGCGTGAGTTCCAAGCCACCAGGTCCAGGACTCGAACTGGGGTCGACCACATGGGAGTCCAGCGACATAGCCATTACGCCAACTGCTGGTTCCCATCACTGCCAATCTTTTTGTTACTCATCTTTCTCCTTAAAATGCCCATCTTCCAAACAAGACTTCATGTACATCATCAGTATTACCACATTTCATTACTTAAATCTTTATATGTCATCTTTATACCAGGACATAAAATAATACCTTAACTCATTCTGCATTCTCTTACATAGTAGAAAACATAGTTATTTGCTCAATGAACAGTAAGTCAAAATTAACTCCCATTGTTTTTGCTATCACCACAAAAATCTCAGAAAATTCTACATCAAGAAACTTTAGGGGCCATCGCAAGGCTTAGTGGCTAAGGCAGCTGGATCTCACATGGCCAACCACATGGCCAGACCTGGCAACTTGAGAACACACCAGGCATGTGTGCATACATGCCCAAAATCCCAAAAGGAGGAGGAGACGTGAAGGAAAAGGTATTGCTTTGTAACCATGCCCGATGGGGGTTGCTGTCTCGTTTTCTTGTTTTCTCTCTCTCTTCTAGCAAGTACATATATATGTGCCCTCTGGCCCCCCTCCCAAAAAAAAAGGAAAACAAAAGAAAAGAAAAATTAAGAAACTTTATTTTCAGGATCTCAACTTTTACTTTCTAGGAAGAAGTTAGTAAGTCAACTAAATTTTTTAAGTCTTCAACTAAATGCCTCTGCACTTAAGAATCTAAGATGGAAAAAAATACCTTTTCAGAGGCACTTTTCAGTTTTGAGCATTTTTGTTTGTTTCTTTGCTTGCTTTAATTTGCTATAGGCGCATGTGCTCACCAGAGACAGAAAAAAAAGAAAGTAACCCCCAGACCATGCTGTAAGTCCTTCTCATTCTCTTCTGAAAATTTTGGGCACACGCACACACACGTGCCCAGTGTTTTTTAAGCTGATGGGTCCAGGACTCAAACCCCACAATCGGCTATGTGGGATCCTGCTGCTTTAACCACCATGCCCCCTGCCAGCCCCTAGAGTTGTGTTTTTTCTTTTTCTTGGAGAGATCTTTGCTATAGGGCGCATGTGCTCGCCAGAAAGACAGAGAGAGACATAAAGTGAGAAATCACCCCCCAGGGGGGATGGCCAAACCACAATCCCTTCTCCTCTATTCTCCTCTCCAGATCTTGCGCATGCACGCACAAGCGCCCGGTGTGAGTTTAAGCCGCCGGGTCCGAGACTCGAACTGCGGTTAACTACGTGGGAGTCCAGTGACATAGTCATTACACTAATTGCTGGTCCCTAGAGTTGTTTTTATAGGCACTACACAGGAGCTACTATGTGCTAAACAATAGCTGTGCTCTAAAGGAGTCTACAGGAAACAACAGAACATAAGTGAATCGTTTACTTTTATATGTTAACATATTTTAAGAAA